CCATATTTTCTTCAAAGAACGACTGCGCCCAAGATGCTCTCCGCGCGTGATTGGTGGCCCCGCGGTCGCCTCTTGGGCGCGCGCGTCGTCCATCGCGTGCTCGCTCGCGCGGGCGCCGCGCGAGGGGGGCGATATTCGGGCGTTGCGCCCGATATCGGCGCAGCCGCGGTGGGGCGCGACCATATAGCTTGGCGCTGCAGCGCAAACGTTCATTGCCGTGATTGGGTGCTGCAGCATTTCGCCGACTCTACTCCTCCTCTGCCCCGCCCCCTTCCTCCGCCTCCTCTTGCGCTGCAGCGCTGATATCGTTGAACAGAGATGCCTGCGGTCGTTCAAACTCCTCCTCGCCCTCATCTTCCCCCTCCTCTTCGCCCCCTTCATGAAAGCTCCTCCCCCTCCTCCCCCGCCATCCCCCCCCCTCCTCCTTGCCCCCTTCATCCCCCCCCCCTCACCCCCCCCCCTCCTCGTCGTTGGGCCGTCGTCTGCGCCGTCGTCTTTGCACTGTTATTGCGTCGTCTCTACCGCCAGTCGAGTGCTCCAGCACTATTTCGCTTTGCGCGCTGTGTCGTCACGCGCCGCCCGCGCGCGGCGGCTTGGGCCCGCGGGCCCAAGCCGCAGACGCAGTTGCAGTAGCAAGACGCTGGGGCATACAGGATGGACCATGATATCCCCGACCCCACGGTGCATCCTTCCGCAGGGCCCTCCAGAGGGCCAACAGGCCTTCCCCCTCGATCTTCCCGCGCGGTGGGTGGAGGGCCTTTCTTCGAACGAGCCGGTCCGCGGCCCCGCTGATCCAGCGCCCACGTGGGTTGCAACCCATTCGGGTGCTGGATCAGTGGGTCGCGCTCGAGCACGCTCTCGCGAGCGAGAAGGAGCTCCCGACCCCCCCCCCCCCCCCCCCCCCCCCGACCTGCAGCGATGCCACTGCAGGACGCTGCGGCGGCAGCTTGGGGGGGCGCGGGTCGCGGCTGCCCATGCTTCTCCTTCTCCTCTTCTACGCATTCCTTCTCGGCCCCCCCCCCGCCCCCCCCCGCCCCCTCATTCCCCTTCCCCCCCCCCCCACCCCTCCAGGGGGGGGGCGGCGAGGAAGATGAATGGCAATGATTTGGAATCATTTCCATGGGTGGCCACGCGTGCAAATGGATTGAATAACCACTTAGTAAGCTAACCACTTAGTACGTTCGCTAACCACTTAGTAAGTAAGCTAGCTAGCGGACTTACTACTAAGTGGTTACTACGTGGTTACTAAGTGGTTACTAAGTGGCAGTTAAGTGGTTACTAAGTGGTAAGTAAGTGGTAGCTAGAGAGGGGACTTAGCGAGCTCACCACTACTAGAGACTTAGCAAGGTTAGCGGCCAGCTATAAGTGGCGAGTATCTTCTACGAACCAGTAATAGCTGGTTTTTCAACTTATAGCCGACGCATAACATTTTCAACCGACTTACATCTTATTTAAACAGACGCACTAATCCCTCTAACTCCTTAGTCTCCCCGCTAACCACGTAGCAAACGCGGCGGCCATCCAAGTGGGCCATCGCCTACAAGCGTCCGCGCGTGAATCCGCCGCCCGCCCCCGAGGCTCCCCACCTCCCCCCGGCGACGACGGGCGCTGGTGGCGCGAGCCAGCGCCGCGGGCCGCTCCATGCAGCGCCAGCCCGCGAGAGGGGGCGCCTCTGCCTGCGCGGCGCGAGCCCCTGCTCTTCGTCAGAGACACCTGGGCCGCGTGGCCGAGCGCCTGCGCCCGATGGGATTCGTTCGCGCCTCGGACTACAGGAAGCAGGACAAGGGGCGGGCGCGCCCCGAGGATGCACCAGCGCGCGCCCTGTTCAATTTCCTCAGCTCGAAGGGGGGCCTGGTGGCCCGGGCCAGGAGGAGGGCGCAGCGGATGATCGGTGAACTCGGGGCGGCCCGGCGCAGATTCTGCGATCTGTGTGGCGGCGGCGCCCGGGCGTCGCCGCCTTCTGCTTCCTCCGCCGCGCCCCGTCATTCCCGCGCTCGCTCGCGCGCGCGGGAAACGGCGCCGTCGCGGCGCTCCGTCACCAGCCGTGCACTGCCATCCCTGACAGTGCGTGGCCACCGGCAGCCTTCGGCCGCAGTATCGAGGTTTGACGGGCTTGGCGCAGCGGCCGCGCGTCGCCCGCCCCGGCAGCGAGCGGCCCCGCCTGGCCTCGGCAGATTCACCCATTTATTCTGCGCCGACTAAGTACCCTCAGCCTTGGCTTGCACTGCCCACCCCGGCAGCGCGCGGCCTCGCAGGCCTGGCCGCAGTAAGTGGTCCATGCGCGCCCTCTCGCCGACCCCGTGCCGGCCGCCGCTGGCGCGCCTCAGCCGCCCTGGCCCGCCGCCCGGGGCGGCGCGCAGACGTCCGCAGCAGCGCGGTGCGCGGGCTGCCTATGCCCGCTGCCCGCCGGCGCCGGCGCCGGCGCTGACGCCCCGCCCGCGGGGCGCCCAACAGAAACTTATCTTTTGGACGGGCGGGCGGATCAACCGACCGCCACAGGCAAGCGCATGCAGATCCGGCGCGCCAATGCGCCGCCCCCACGCCGGAACTGCAACGCCCGAAACAGCGTCGCGCAGTGGCCCCTGGAGGGCCCGCGGGTGGAGGATGCGACGGAGTAGCGGGGGGCCATGATGAGGGAGGTCCTGACGAGGTTCACCATCGCTGCCACATCTGCAATCTCGCGTTTCAAAGCAGCCGCGCTCTCAATATCCACCTAGGTCGCCAACGCCATGAACGCGCGACGGGGGTGGCGCCGACGCGGGCCCCTTGGCTCCCGCGTGCCAAACGCGGGGCCCTTTTCACAAGAATTGATTCCCTCAAGAAACACGTTTGGGGTCGTTGCCGCGCTGCCGCTGCCGTCAATGCCGAGGCCGTTCCGGGGGGCACGCCACGACCCCCACCGCCTCCACCACTTGGCCTGCCTCTCGACGTTCAAGGAGGCGCCCGAGGGAGCCCCGGCCAAGCCCGCCAAAAGCCAGAGGGCCGAGGGCGAGGGGGCGAACGGCAGCGGGGATGCCAGCTCTTCCATGTCCAGCGCGGAGCGGGCGCCGCTGAAGGAAATTGCCAAACTCGTTCCCCAGCGCGAGGGCAGCCGCCGCGCCGCCGACCGCGACAACGAAGCGGTCCTCGAGCTCGACAGCAAGGCCAAACTGAAGCTGAGCCTGGACCGAGCGGTGGACTCCTACGACTCCGAGGGCAGGGCGGGAAAGGCGACGGCCGCGGAGACGGACGAGGTGCGCAGTGGGCGCCCCCAGGGCAAGCGCCCCGACGCCCTGTTCCGAGCGGTTCTGCGCCACGCACAAGTGGCCTTTCGCGTGCAAGAAGCTGCCCTGTCGGAGGACATGGCCGAGGGCGACCAACAGCGGGCCCTCCTGGCCTCGACGGCGGCGGTGGCAGCTGGCGAGAAGGCCCCATCGGAAGCACTCGTTCCAGGCGACGCGTTGCTTCGTCGCAGGGTGTCAGGACAGCGAGAAGGAGGGCGAGGTCCGCTGGGTCATGGCGGCCGACCGTCACCGCGAGCTGGCCGAATCCATTCGCACCCTCAGCCAGGCGTCGAAGTGGCAGCGGGTGACGGGCACGCTGATCGACGACGACCATGCCCCGCGCTCCCAGGCCGCCAAAAAGGTCGAGGAGCTAGTACTCAATCCCAAGGCAAAGGCAAAGGGACAGCAGAAGTGAACTAAAAAAGGATGTTGGGTATTCTTCCTAGGTGAGACTTCCCGATCCGTTTCGCTTGCCAGCCAGTCTCTACTTCCGAGCGGCGGTTATGTGTAGTTGTCTCTCCCTGGCTGGTCGGTATCACCGCGGCTAGTTTTTGTGCCGACAGTTCGTTGCCACCAGTCGTGCGGCTAGGGGGTCGCTGACTGTCCGGCGATGGGTCCATCGGGGGATGGGCGCCTCGCGTGATGTGTCCGTGTACGCACGCGTGCGCAGGCCCCTCTTCGGTAGACCTTGTGGGGGCTCGCGAGACCTCTTGGTTGGGGTTGCGGTAGTAACGAAGCGACTCGGGGGTGGGCCGTGTAGTCTTGGGGAAAATATTGTTATATAAAGATGCACTGACCAATTGACATGAATTCCATTCCTGACTTCGCCAGCATACTTCCGGAAACAATTGCCGCTTCGAGCGCCCAAGACGGCGCAGGTGGCTTCCGAGACGGCGACAGATCACCCAACGCACCCCCAAGACGGTTCAAGAGAGACCCAAGAGGGCCCCCAGACGGACCAAGAGCGTTCCAAGACGGCTCAAGAGGCTTTCGATGTGCCCAAGAGCCTCCAGAGCCCTCCCAAGAGGGCCCCGAGAGGCAACAATCATTGATTCCCCTATGTGTGCTCAATGTTTTTGGGTTGTCGCCATTTCGAGTTTCCGACGTCCCCAGACGGCCCAAGATAACCCCAAAATTGCCCCACGATGGCCAAACGGGCCCGCAAGATGGCCCCGAGAAGGGCCAAAGAGGGGGAACGCGAATCGACATTTCGAGCCTTCCGCCACAAGAGGCCCCCAGAGGCCCAGCAGAGGCCCCAAAACGGCCCCAAAGAGGCCCAACAAATGCTCCAAGAGGCTCCACACCGCCCCGTACGAGGCTTGTGTTGTTTCAGGGGTTTTCTTCTACTCGTTTTCCTCTTGCTTCTCTCGCTGTCCTCCCCGTCATCCACGCTGTCGTCCACGTCATCCGCCGCCTTGTCCTCGCCATCATATGTTTTTTCTTTTCCCCCTGCGAGCCCAATGGACAGCATCGGCGCTTCCCTTTCTTGTCCGATCAGGTTCATGATGTATCCAATGGTGGAGGGAAGAGTCCGGGAGGAGAGAGAAGAGGGAGGAAAGGAGAGGAGGAGGGAGGGAGGAGGGGGGAGGGGAGGGACAGGATGGTTCAGGAGAGGAGAGGAGAGAAGAGAGGAGAGGAGAGAGGAGAGGTGAGGAGAGGAAGGGGGGACGGATAGAGGTGGAGGACGACGACGACGACGACAGCGTCTTGCTTCTGCGCCCTGCCCCTTCGCGGGAGGCGACCGGCCACGTGCGAGCGCGGGCGTACGGCGAGCAGCTGCTGGTGCCCAGGCTGGCTGGAAACCGGCCAGGTCCTCTCTCGCTGGAAGGCCGACGGTCGAGAGCGCCCCTGCTCTGCACGAGCGGCGAGAATCTCCGCGTACCCGCGGACGGCTTGTGTGCACCGTACCACGTTGGCGTCTCCCGAGGCGTCGTCGATCCCCGAACCAAGAAGGGTGCGGTGCATGGTTCTTCGGCCCTCAGGGCCGGAAAAATATGAACCGTACTGCGTTGGAGCGGGGCCTGAAGGGAGTCCAGACATGGTTCGATGCATGGGCGCCGTTCTTGTATTTGAGCCATGCCTCATCTGTGTTTGTTTGACCTCTTCTGGGCCCCACCCCGCGGATCTTTTCGATTCTGAGTCGACTCCAGTTCGACCCTAGTTCGACTCCGGTTCGACGTAAGTTCAACTCGAGTTCGACTCGAGTGATACTCAACTCGATTGACGTTCGTTGCAGCATCGACGCAGAGCGAGTGGCTCCGAGAAGTTCCCCAGAACGAGCGTGCGGCATGCCCTCGCGGTCTTGGCCTAGAGGCGCGATCCCACGGATGCGCGATCCCGCGAATACGATCCGCGCGGGGCATCCGCGAAATGCTGCCCTTTATTCGTGGGGTTTCGACCGTTTGGTGCAGATCGCGAGGCCGTGGAGAAGGATCAGTCTCCTGCCCACGAGTCCGTTTTACTTTTTTCCCCCCCCCGATGTTTTCTCTAAGGGGAGAAGAACATTTCTATACTGATACCGTTACCCTTCCATCGATGTCGTTTTTTCTGTCTTTTTCGGGGCTCTCGTCACAACAGGTGTATTCGCCTCGGAACCCTGGCCAGAACGCGTCCTGGGAAAGGTCAGGGAAGTCGCAGTAGCGCTATTTTTTGTTACAGGTTCGCGCGTTTACTGACAGGCTCGTCGCACCCTGTCTGCAGGCATCATCTGAACTGACGAGGAGTGATGCGAACTTGCAACGTATCTGAACGCATTATTAAATCCCACCGTCTGTAAAGATGGGTCGCAGACAGAGAGAGCCCGAATGCGGCTTGCCCGTTTTCTCATGGTTTGTTTCTTGAGGGCGGTGTTAGATGGAGTGTGGGTGGTGGATCGTTGGTTGTAAGGAGAATGGAGTACGGTCAGGGACGTTTGATTAGCTTGTCGCGCGGCTGGTTCTGACCCACCACGCTACGGCGCGGCACGCTACCCACGTCCCAGTCACCAGGCATCAACGTTCCTAGCTTTTCCCAACTTCCCGCCCTGCGAATTGGATCAAAACGCTATCCGCTTATTAGGTATAGCGTGTCGCTGGGGCCGCCGCCGCGACACGCTGAGGAGCAATTCCGGACCGTAGGCAAGCCATAGGGGAGCCATGGCTCATTAGCACGACTGAGCGCGCGAACACGACCGCTGGCCAGGTTTGGCTCTTCGTGGCGACCTTCATGAAGGTGTCCACCACGCTGCTGATACTGGTGCAGGACGTCCAGTTTCAGGCTTTGGCTCGATACGTGCTGGATCCCCTGTTGGGCGCGCGTTGGCTTGGACCGCCGTTCCTGCTTGTCACCACGGGGGCCATGTGGTGCCTGCAGTTCTGGCTCGTGGACGAGGTCCTGGTCGAAGCCAGTGGAGCCTGCTTCTTCAAAGATGGCGCCATGTCGGAGCCCCTGCTCAAACAGGCCGAGGCGCCCTTGGGCCAATGTCAAGCACGCGCGTCTTGCCCCTGTCGTTCTGTCGCCCCTGCAGTAGTCATTTCGATGTTCGGTATATTGACTGGTACCTGCTGATGCTATTGCCTGCTCTCACCCCTCGAACCCTGTAACCCTTTAGCTCTGGGGGGGTCTTGTTTGTTGCTATGCAGACAAACTTTCAAATGCAGTAGCGGGATGGTTTCGGAATTAGGAATTCACGTCGTCACACCGCGCCAGGGTGCGCGCTGCATTGGCAACGGAGCCTTTTATAGTGTAGTGGCCTTCGGCCAGTGCCGCCGATCCGGGTCGCTTGGGGTGCCCCCCAGAATGGGCGGCGACACTTCGCCGACAGGCACGCACGCACACGCTCGCAGACATTACGCGCACACACGCACACACACACACGCGCGCACGCACACATACACACAAAGACGCACACACACACACACGCACGCACGCACACACACAACACAACACAACACAACACAACACAACACAACACAACACAACACAACACAACACAACACAACACAACACAACACAACACACCGCAACACAACGCAACGCAACACCACACAACACAACACACCACACCGCATCGCAACACACCACAACACGACACGACACAACACACCACAGCACAACACAACGCAAGACAACACAACGCAACACAACACAACAAAACAACACTGCACAACACATCACAACACTACACCACACCACACCACACCACGCCACACACACACACTTACTTACCCACCCACGCGCGCACGCACGCACGCACGCGCCCGCGCGCACGCACCCACGCACGCACGTGCGCACGCACGCACGCGCGCACGCACGCGCGCACGCACGCACCCACCCGCGCACACACACACACACACACACACACACTATGCACGCAGACGCACACATACCACGCTCGCACAGGCGCGCCACATTCGCAGACACATACACACGCACACGCCGGCAACGCACAGACACATACACACCACGCACGCCGCGCAAACGCACATACAGTCACACACATGCACACACCGCACACAATCGACACGCATTTCACCGCCACCATCGTCTCCCCCCTCCATTTGTTTCTCGTTTTCCGCTCTTCTACTTCTCTCCCCATCTTTCCCCGATTCCCTTCTCGCGCACACGGACAAACATTTCCCTCGCGCACACGCGCGCACCCCTCCTTCCCTGCCCTTCCTTCCCCGGCAGAGCCACCCCGGCAACCCCCCCAGAGGCTGGAGCTCAGCCTCGACTCGAGGCTGTAGCTGAGGCTCCTTCGAACTCACGCGCCACGGAACACCCTCGTCCCCTCCCCCACGCCATTGGAACCCACGCCGCCGGACCCCCCCCACACACCCCCTCTTCCCCAATTCCCCCTTGATCGGTGAGGGGAAGATGGCGCTGATGAGCGATGAACAATGGCCCCTAGCAGGCGATGGGGAGGACAACGACGAATATGGGAATTCGGGGGTCTTGCCGAGCTCGGCGGAGTTTAGGCGCTACCGCGGAGAGCGCAGGAAGTGGCGAGGTGGACCCTGCCCAGCCCCACTTCCCTTGGAGGCCAGATTACAATTTGCGCACAAGCGGCCGAGGCACTATCATACATTAGCCCGGGACGTTCAGACGTGAAAAGCCAGGCTGCGACACTGCAAGCCGTCGGCCGAGCTCGCCTTTGACTTTGCCGGCGCGATCGCCTGCGAGGGCGCAGAATCGTAGAGTCACTGGGGTGGGCGAGGCTCTACTCCTAGAGGGCGTAGAGCTGATCCTGAGCTCCTTCGCCGTGTTCGACGAGTCGCAGGTCCTCCAAGTGGTCGACCTGATGGAAGACTGCGAGGAGGTGGAGCGGCTCCCCGGAGAGTTGCTCGCCGCCTATGTGGCCAATTTCAGAGATTTGGATATGAGTCTGAAGCGGGCCAAAGTGCCAGCTCAGACAGGACAGTTTCGGGCGTTCAAATTGCTGCGGGGTGCGCGTCTGCCCCCAGAGGTCAGGCGCAATTTGCTGTCGGCGACTGGCAGCGAGTGCGGTTTCGACTGCCTCGTTCAAGCTATGAGTGCGCAGCGGCCGTCTTCGGCGCCCAACTGGGGCGGCGCCGCCGCGCGGGGTGGCGCGCAAGAGGCTCGGCGAGGCGGCCCCACCCGAGCGAGGGCGTGACGTTGGGCATCGAGGCGACAAAGGATGTCGCAAATGGTCGCGGCCGCCAGATTTGGCAGAGCACCTCGGCCGCCCCCGAAGCCACTGCATGTCGGCGAGGCCGACGCCGACGAGGAAGATGAACACGAGTTCGAGGATGCGAACGACCTGGACAGTCGACGCGAACGAGTCCCGCGTCGACTACAACGATCTGGCCGCGGCGACGCAGGAGATGGTCGACGCTGCGACGGTCGCGAATGGCAGATTGAGGGGGCCGACCATGGGCGTAGGCTGCGCGGGGAGGGCGCCGCCGCCGCAGACGAGGCGCCGCCGTCCGCCACCTCGGCCGCCGATTTCCAGCGACCCGCCTCCGGCGCCGACGACGAGACCGACGACGGCTCCAGCTTCCAAGCCGCAACGCTTGGCGTCGACACTTCAGAGAAGCATGGCGCCGCTTCCCGCTGGCACTTGATTTTTAGACAATATAAGGATCAGGCGATGCACGATCGGCAGCTCCGTCAAAGCCAAGCTTTCGATCATCTCAAACGCGGGCGAACCACTGGGACAAGCGCGGCAGATCGCGCGCCTCGCGCGAGGCCGCAATCGAGGAGGGCGAACCCGGCCGCGATGATGAGGGCGAGCGCGGTGCTGATATGGCGGGCCACGACGCCGCGGTCACGCGCGTTTCTCCAGACGAGCTGCAGCAGCGAGCGGCCGCCTCCAAGAGCAGGGTGGCCGACGGCAGTCGAGGGGGCCCTCGTGTTCGGTGTCGGCCAGCGCCAGAAGTGCAACGTTTTGTCTTCGCACTCTCGCGATCTGGAGGCGGCGAGGAAGGAGGCGGAACGAACTCGCCAGGTTGCCGCCGCCCAGCGTGCCGGGGCTTTCCTCGACGTTGGCCAGTAGAGGGCGCCTGGGGGCCCTGCGTCGTCATCGACGCAAGTTGCCAGCGCAACTTCGCGGATTGCGAGTGCCCCGGGAAGTTCCCAAACAGTTTCGCAGGGCGCGGTCTCAGTTTTGGGGGGGCGGCTGAAGAAGCAGGGGTCGCATTTGGAGTCAGCAGGGCCGCGGGGGGGTCTGCCTTCCACTTCCCGATCTGCCTGGGGCATATGGCGCCTCTCGTGCGCGGTGCCTCAGCACCTGGCGTCGACCCTAAATTGCCTTGCTTGGCGCCCCTGCCCGCGCGGAAGCTCTCGGGCCTCTTGCCGGGCACCGAGGGGAGGGGGGGGGGGGGGGGGGCGAGCTCATCTCGCCGAGCTCAATTTGCGCGATTGGCCATTGAAGATCTCCTCGGGTTGCCGCCTGCCCGGGGCATCGGTTCTGGGCGGCTGGGCGCGGGGCTCGCGGGGGGCCCGAAGCCCGGAAGTGCGCCCCCTCGGACGTCGCCCTGCCGGGGCCTCCGCGGATCCTTGAAGAGCCCGCGCCAGTTTCTGGGGATAGGTTTGATCGATCCGACTTTCAGCCCGCGCAGTTTTCATGCTCGGCACATTGTGCCCTTGCACGTTCGAGACGTAGGCTGCTGCAGCCGCGCGAATTCCTGCCCGCGGAGGTAGCGCGCGAGAGCTCGACATCCAAGGTTCTGTCCGACGGCGGCCCTGGCCGCGCGGCGACGGGCGCTGCGGGAGGTCGAGGGGGGGGGGGGGGCGCAGGGCTGCCGCGCGCCTCGTCGGGCGGCCCAGTTGACGACGGGCGCTCTAGCGAAGGCGCTGGTTGATGGGTCTGATCGCGAATCCCCTCGCGCGCATCGCCGGCCGCAGCCGCGACCAGATCCGCCAGAACCTCGCGGCGTTAAGCCGCATGGTGGGCAAGGTCGCGCAGCTCGGCCACGCGTCGGGCCAGCGCACCCCGCTGTCGGGCGCGGCGAAGGCGATGGCGAAGGGGTCGCCGCAGGCCCAGGAGGCCGCGCCGCCGCGGCCGCCAGCCGCGACGGCGGACAAGGATAAGACCTGCGCCAGGCTGCGCAAGCCGCAAGCCGCGGGGCGGGTGCCCGCGCGCGGAGACGAGGAGGCACTGTGCGCAGGGCTACTGGCCGACGTGTCAAGGCTGCGATCGCCGTTGGAGGTCAGTCATCGCGAAGTGGGTCGCGATGGACGACCGCGACGATTCTCTGTGAGCGCTTGTCTCGACATGGTCGCAGGGTTCTCGCTCGCTCACTCGGCCAGCAGCTTCATTGACGCCGACGCGTAGAGTCAAATCATCAGCGAGCTCCTATCAGTCGACGCGGTCACCCAGCGACGGCGAAGCCAGTCGGGAGACAATCGGACGTAGTCTGAACCACCGCCGGCGCCCACAGATGACGATGGAGACCTCGGGCGCGCGGGCGACGGACGGCTGGGAGAAGGTGCCCTGGGCGAGACGCCGCGGCCTGGCCCGGTGAAGACGGGCGCCTGGAAGCGCATTCTAGGCGGCCAAGCAGGCCGCCGCCGCCCGCGAGACGCTGGTCGAGCGACGCCGACTCGAGCGCGGCCGACGTTCGAGATCAAGAGGACATCCCGGGACGTGGCTTTGAGGTGCATTTCAACTTGTGACGCCGCGAGCCACCTCGAGGACGATTGTCAGGCATGTGGGACCGACTCTCTGGGAAGATGTGCCGGCGCGGCCCGACCCGCCAAGCTGGTCGTTGAGTTCGAGCTGCGAGCCTAGGCGAGCGCAGACAAGAAGGACGGTTGGGATTTGACAGCTCCCCAGAGGTCGCAGAGATGGAAGGGCCAGGTCATCCGAGACTTGCCCTGGGTGGTCGCGCTTGGTTTTTTCCTGTTCGCATTGGCGTTCTTGCCGCGTCGACGTCAACTGCGAGCGCCACCCCGGGCTGCTGGAGGGGCTGTGCACCAAGGGCCGCCAGCTGGTCCGCCTCATC